ATAAAAAGTAATATTAATATTTTGTGACTTAATGAAGTTAAGTAAAGTTTCCCAGATTGGCCAATAGTTGTATTTTGCTAATATTCAACTAATTTTAAACCTAGTACTTTATTTGAAGAAAAAATTTAAACTCAGTTACATAAATTTTTTTTAGGAGTATATGAGGGAAGTTTGTTGAAATAATGTACGGTATCGGGAAAACTGATTGTGGTGAAATAACTTTCAGGGAATCATACTAGGTGGGTCGACATCTAACTTTCATTATTGGTAGCTTAGCATTCAGTGACCATATACAATCAGACCTCCCAAATATAAATTTGACCAGTATTTTCTAAAGCACGTTGTCAAAAGTTTGGATCATATGGAGTGTCACCTATTAAAAGGTCCCATTTTTACATTTTTAAAAAAAATTTTTTTTATTTGATTTTTTGATAAAAACATATTTAATGAAAAAATTTGCTATAGGTCACAAAGAATTGATTATTTAATAAAAAGATCCATAAGATAAAGTTTTAAATCGAAAAATTCTATATTTATATTTGTAGAAATATGAATTACTCAAAAATCAAAATGTAAAAATAGGCTCTTTCAATAGGGGACACTCAATATAAGATATATAGTATACAATTTTTTTAAAAGGACATATAGGTATGATTCGACAACATAAATATTTATTATACATTTAGAATCAAGCGGAAATACATGAAATATACAACTTAGATAAAAATACATCTAAATTTATGGTATATATATGAAAGTATCTTCAATTTCATTTGAGAGAGAAAAATTTGATGTAACTAAAGAATGATTTACATTTGGAGGTTTAAGATAATTAGGTCTAATTTCAATAACTTTAGGTAAATCTGAAAAATTTATTTCTTCGCCAGAAATTAAATTTTCCAGTGCTTCATGAACAAATTCAGCATCAGGACGGTTTTCAGGATTTGTATCCCAACAACGTTTATAAAGTTCTACAAAATTTTCTGGAGTATTTTCTATAGGAGTTTCTCTTTTCCCTTTATATACTTGTATTACTACCGCATCCCTTGGCATAACTGATTCAAATGGTGGTCGACCACTTGAAATTTCCCAAAGAATTACACCTAAACTATATATATCAGATTTCTTGTTTCGTTTATATTTAAAATCAAGAAAACTTTGAGGGTCTTTATACGCAGGAATTCCATGTCCCATAGATGAAGGGATAGAATTCTCATTTCTGGATAATCCAAAATCTGCAATCATCATTTTGCCTTCATGAACCAAGATATTTTTTGAATGCTATAAAATAATGTAAAATGGAACAATATAAATAAAATAAAATAAAATAAAATAATTTGATTAAATAACAAAATAAATTATATTTATATTGCTCTTACAAGATCTAAATGCACGATGTTATTAGTGTGTAAGAACAAAATACCTAATGCTATTTCTTCGGCAATACGAAATTTATCTGTCCATTGGAGGGTTGCAAAATTTTGGCTTAAAAAATTTCGCAAATCTCCATTATTAGCGTACTGTAAAACCATACTATACTCAGTAGATGGGTCTATTTTAATGGTATTTAAAATATTAATACTATATTAAATTAAAGAGTATCTACGATCACATACTTCTTTTAGTTACACCATAAAACTGGATGATGTTCGGGTGAAAACTAACTCTTTGTAGAAGTCGAAGCTGTGTACAATTTAGATTTAGTTATTAATTACAATTAAAAAAAAATATACAATTAACTCTTTCTATAACGAACTGAAAACGTTTCAAATAAGTTCGTTATAAAAAATATGTTACTTTTAAAAGCTCATAGCAATTATTATACCGAAATAATATAAAATTTCTGAGTTCGTTACATCCAGAGTTCACAAATTAAATAACTTTAATACCTCTTTAACAAAATCTTCACTAATCAAATCTTCATTGCCAGTTAGGCTCTTAAGAGCCACTGTTAATTGACAATCCTCCCATAATGACTTATATATAATTCCAAAGGCGCCCCTACCAATAACCTCGGAATCGACAAATTCATTAAAGTCGAAGAGATTGATATTCTGATCCTCAATTGCTTTTTCGAGCCATTGGCCGCCAGTACTCTCTAAACGCATGATCTTTAAATGCGGATTTTATGTTTTTAGTCTCTCTAAATGCAATTCTTATTTAACTCAAGAAAATCTTAAATATTTGATTCGTATCTTAAAACAGTAAAAGGAATTGTTACTGCCGATACGCTTAAATATATAAAATTTGTGTAATGTCACAGAGCATGTGATGCAAATCATAATAAAAAATGGCAAATCATTATATTTACATATTTATTCAAGAGTAGGAGTCATGTGAGAAGAACACGTGCGTACGTACGTGCTTCCTATGTCAAGACTTCAAAAATGTAATTATATTTTATTGGAGTTTATTATACATAAATATACAAAAGACTTTCTATTAACAGTGAATTTATACAATTAATATTTTGGATTTCAAGCAATGGAATTATAAAAAATATTATTATAAGTACATCTATATAGTAAATTTTTGAAATTTTTACGTTTTCATGTAAATGTAACCTGAAATTTTTTATGTTATCAGAGAACATTAAATTAACAAACTAATTATAAATATTGAAAGACCTCATAATCATTAATTTGAAAACAGCCTCCCGAATCCGGCGAATCTCTTATCGCCAATTGATAGTTGGATTTATAACATCTCCATGTTTTACCGCTTTCACCTCGAGTCATATTATCAGGAACCATATATAGATCTAATCCAAATGATGGGCCTAAACCTTTTTCATGATATATCGCTTGTTTTGAATTTATAACTTCACTAATTAAAGTTATATGATCTTTTAAAGCGAAAAGGAAACTTTTATTTGTTTCCGAATAACATGCATTTGGTTGAAGTATCCCACCAAGCTCTTTCCATACAAGAGGATTATAACCACCAATAATCTCATTAGTACCGTGAACCCGCAAAATTAAAATACTATTTTTAATGTTTTTAAGCCGTTTAAAAAAAATGGTTTTTCCAAACCCATCATGACTACCTCTTAGAATTAATTTAATTTTATCCGGGATCCCAATAATATCATCGATATCTATCGATGGTTCAATATGACTCATGATAGATATTAAATCTCTTATTGAGCACAATTCTGAGACGTTGGGCTTTTTGATCCTGTTCAAATCTTCAAGAACGCATTTTACATCTGGACGTTTTTTGGGATTTTCATCCCAACAACGTTGATATAAAATGACAAATTGAGATGGTGTATTTTCCACAGGTATTTCTCTCTTTCCCGCAAAGATTTGATGTGTAACTAGATCCCTTGG